AATCAAAAGTCTTCGAGTAGTTGATTCATCTGACTCGTTAGTCCGGTGTACAGTTTCCATTCAAATTCAAAATTCTTGATTCACGAATTTCACCACAAAGCCCAAGCTGTCACGTGCGACCCCTGTCGCCGCGATCCTCCACACCTGTGCCAGGTCCAGGATTCCTGCGTGACTGTGACTTGATGACAACGCAGGCGCCACCAATTTTGAGTGACGCCCATCCATAAAGCAACATCAAAAGGTGTCTTCGGATCCCCGATCAGACCGGAGTCACGCATCGTCCCCAAAAGGTTGCTTGGATTTCTGCTGAACATGGGCTCCTCATCTTCAAAGCCCGCGCGCAAGCTGGCAGACACAGCTCAATCAGCCGTGCGCTCTTCAGGAGGTTCTTCCAGGGCAGGCTTACCTCCCAATGCCAGCCACAGCCCCAGCGCCAATGCCAATGCCAAACCCAAACCGAGCGCCTCTCGCTCTTCCCACCCTTCGAGCGACGCAGACGCATCATCAGCTTCAGCTTCTGCCTTTAACATCAGCCGAGCTTCGCCTTCACTCACATCCGATCCGTCCAAAGCTGCCACACCCACCGCAGGCCCTCGAGATGGCGCAACTGGTCTGAATCAGAAGTTCAGCGAGAGCAAGACGGACGCGATCAGGGAAGATGCTAGGGATCCTCACTTGATCGCTAATTTGGCAAGCTTGGGACCTGCAAAAGTCAAGCGGAACAGGTTGACCTACAGACCCGTGAGTAAAGCGCCGCCAGGCAGATCATGACGGGGACATTACGCGCACATGACGTCAAGGGTTTGCATGCCAGGCCGAACCAGACCAGACCCGACCAGGCCAGACCAGAACGAGAGTCGACGGCAAGCGCCAACACTGTGGATGTGTCGGATTTGTCCACCGTGCTAAGTGGCGCGCGTCGTGCACTTATGTACGAGTATCCGACAGGTAGAAAGCGGGTTCGGGACATTTGGTCTAGTGGGACTGGCCACTCCACTAGATTAAGTGGCCCTTGAGCCAGCACTTGCTCTGTGTGTCGACCGCGGGAGGTACAAATTGCACTGAAAACTGACTGAGGCCCCCACAAGCTGTGTTTTGCTGGACGCCCCGGTTTCGATCCCCGCGCAGCGCAAACTGACTTTTATTTCTCCTCCCTGTTCTCTCCCCTTACCCTTTTTGCCTCGGATTTTCCTTTCTTTCTGTTTCCCAGAATGACCAAATGCTTGGCATCTTGCAAGCTCGACAGAAGCGGGAGCAACAGGAAGCGCAAAGCGCATCAGATTCCACCTCCAACAGCGGCGTCGCGGGAGCTCAAAACAGCTCAAACCACATGTCTGCCAATTCCATCTCGACGCTCTTGGATGCGCGCAAGAGCTGTCGTTCAGCAGAGGATGTGCGAGCTCTTGCTCACGGGTACAATATAGATGTGCAAGTGCTGGAGAATCTGGCTAGATGGGTCACCAGTCCTAGCGTGGTGCCCAGGCCCACCAAGAAGGTTCATGAGGGAGACGACGAAACACCGTTGGCTGATGCAGTTTGGACGGAACCTGCTCTTTCCATTGGCGCTCTAGGTGAGTTCGGATCTGCAATCAACTGCGATTCAATCACTCAGAAGCTTACCCGTCATACCAACCGCAGAGCGGCCAAAGACGTGAAATGGTGCAGAGACAAGATTGCGAGCGGGTTCGTGCCAATGGAATGGCAGTTGTCGCGAGACGTGATGCTACAATTACACGTAAGAACCGAAGTTTGATGGTGACGGTTTGCGCTGGTGCGGCATGGCAGACAGGGATGATACGGGCTTTAACAGCCACCTAAGCTTCCTCGAGCTCATTCGCGACCTCTCGCGCATCTTCGGCTTCTTCTTCGTCTGCTTCTTCGTCCTCGTCGCTTTGCTCTGCTACCTCTTC